TCATGTCATCACTCAATGCATATGCAAACATAACATGAAATTATTATTATTATATTCTTCATGTGTTTTAAACACACAGAAAGAAAACCCACCTTTTTTGCCCCTTGCCACAGCAGCTCAGGGGATAAAGAAAGAAACACAACAAAAGATGGGAATGGTTTCATATATATTTAGTCAAAGCTCTCCTACCCCTGAAAAAGAAAAACAACCCTCATCCCTCAGTTTTCCCTCTCGTTTTCTCCGCGCCGCAAAATTACAACGTGCAAATTCATAAACGTATACGCTGTTTTTACACGCTGGAAATAAACACGACGGTCGGGAGGGAATGCTGCTGCCGCGCTGTAGTGGCATCGCAGCCGCATTCTGCATCGAGGAGTGGGTTTGTTCCCAAGCTATTGTCTGTGTGTCTGTCTGGTTTTACTCAACCACACACTCCCAAACCATGCCACTGATTACTAGTTTAGAGTTGCAGTAACTGCTGTCTGGTCCTTTGGCTAACCTCTGGAGAACCTGGTGGGTGTGTGTGCGATTGTGTGTGTGTGTTGGTGTGTTTGTGGCGTGCCCTGTTCATGCATGTCTATGTTTGTACACTACACAGTGAAAGTATGCGTCTTTATTTGTCTTTGAGTGTTTATCTGTGTCTGCAGGGATCTTTTTGGCCCGTGAGCTTGGGAACATTTTTGGAGGCATTTTTTTTCAGCAAAGGTTTTACCATCATACTGTGATGTCACTTCCCCAAAGCGGGGTGTGTGTTCTGTGGTTCAGGTTAGGTGATAAGTTAAGCTGACTTACTCTGCTATTGTTGCTTAACTATTCACTTTTTTGTGGCTTTCTTGCTTTGTGTGTGTGTTGGCACGGATGCCGAATAAAACAACGCATGAATAAGATGATGCCACATTACAGTAAGCTGTTTTCACATGGAATCACAATAAAGGAATGTGTTACAGATCTTAAAAAAGACAAGTGTGATTCAGATTTTTGCAAATAACACAGCATGAAGTCAGGGTTTCTGCAGCTTCTTGCTGTCTTTCATTCAAGACTCACTTGCTTGTGTCTTTTTCTCCTGCTTACTCAGCCTGGTCACGCGCGCGCAGACACGCGCACGCACGCGCGCACGCACGCACGCACGCACGCACGCACGCACGCACGCACGCACGCACGCACGCACGCACGCACTTTACCTTCCTTGTGGTGCATACTTATGTCAGGTGTGCTCTGTTTTTCCAGTCAGGATAAAGAGGAATCTGGGCCAGGGTCCAAGCTGACTATCAACAGCACATTGCCAGAGCCCAGGACAAGAAGCAACACATCCACTCAGTCTTTACTCCTCCTCCTCCTTCCTTTTCTTCTTCTCCTCCTCCCCCCTGTTTTCTCCTCTCCTGATCACTGGAGCGTTGACATGCCACAGTTGGGTCTTTTTTTTTCTCCCCCCCAGTTTTTAAGTGTTTTCTCTCATACTCGTTCGTTATTTCTCATGCATCTTCCTGTGTAGCCCCTCGATTGTCATGCACATCACTTCCTATCTCTTTTAACCCTTAAGATTTTTGTACTGGGTTGCCAGTTCTGTCAGTGACTTAAGTCAGTGTTTCTGTATGGGGGAAAGGTTGTAGTTTCTGTGCCCTGCTTTAGGGGGGAATACAGCCTCATACCTCCTCCAAGGTTTTATCTGCATCTGTTTGCCTGTCAGCAGGATTACACAAAGACTATGCAACCGATTTCCATGAAATTTTGTGGAAAGTTGGGCCAATATGTTGGTGCAGATCCAGGAATCTTGTGTCACTTTCTTTAACATTGGGAGAGAGGGCGTTTTGAACATTTTCTTGATTTCTCAGAGAATAATTCATGGCTCTTGATGGCACGTTAAGGTAACTGATATTTATGAGTGTGTGTAATTTGGTGCTGATCCAGATATAAATCAGGATCCAGTGAACTTATTTGTGGTTTCATGAGTGTTTTTTTTTAAACCTTGGCAGAGGTATGAACTCTACTAAGTGATAATCTAGTTTTTGGTCTTGTGATCTAGTTCAACAAAACAACAAAGAGGCCACAGTTTTATTAGTTAAACGCCTTCAGTAATTATTAGAAATTGCTTGGTTTAATCACTTGTTCAAAGCTCTCAGTGGTGGCTTCATACGGCATACTACAGGTGTGTGTGTGTGTGTGTGTGTATGCGTGTGTCGTGCGCTACTTCAAAGTTGTGTCCTCATACAATACATGAAAGCTAAGAACTGATGACTAACCCAGAGATGTATGCAACATGTTCCCCAAGGACCTTTCTCAACCTTAAAACCACAGAGTGTGTGTGTGTTGCCTTGTCTTCCTTGTGATGTTGCAGTTATTAACAGTTTTATGAGATTTTATTGACAACATCAATTCAGATTTTCTGTTTTGTGGGCCAGTGTCTGTGGAAGCACATGTGCCACCACCACCACATGTGTGTGATCTTACACTCTGCGACACTGTACGTGACAATGTCAGGCCCTGTGCTGCTGTTGGGCCGAGAGGGGGAGAGGGGGGAGATAAAAAGGAAAAGCCCTCCCACACAGGCAGATATGAGGCTTTAGAAGCTCCATTAGCTTCTCAAAGCCAGCTGCTGGGTTCAGATGGATGTCTGCGCTCTGCTGTTTGATGTCCATTCATCCATAGCCTCACATCTCTGCCTCTGTCTACCAGCTCAGCCCGACACGGGGCCCCATGGGGCTGCGGAGAGCATAGCTGCTGTAACTGTAGGACAAAGCGGTTTGCCACCGTGTCAGTCCTGCCCCTGCAAACGCTGCACCACCACTGGAGATCGCCTCATTTGTTTTTGTTTGTGCTTGTGTATGGGAGGTAGGCAGGATGATTGTTGAGGGGTTTAAAGTCTGCTCACAAAACTACCAGTAGATATTTTTCAAGATATTCTAACCTTTCTCTTTTTTTTTCATCTCTCCCTGCAGCACCCGTTCTTCCTCGTCCACCTCATCGTCCTCGTCCTCCTCTCCAGGCATCTTTGGGAATGGGCCAGCGCCTTGCCAGGGTGCATCTCTCCACCCGGTGGCGTGGCTGGCGTCGTGTGAGAGTGAGGAGGGCAGCGACCAGGTCGTAGAGTCCACCCACCCCTCTCTCCGCTTGACTTGCTCCCCCACAAGTGACTTTTGACCTTCAACTCAGCCGTGACTCCGCCGCGACCCCCGGCCCAGCCATGCCCTTCCGGCTGAAGCCGTGGCGCACGCGACGCTACAACGTCCTGAGCAAGAACTACTTTGTGACGCGGATTCGTCTGCTGGACAGCAACGTGATTGAATGCACTCTGTCGGTGGAGAGCACAGGACAAGAATGTCTGGAGGCGGTGGCCCAAAGGCTGGAGCTACGGGAGGTACGTTTGTTCTGTGACACTTGTTCTCGCTTTTGCTTTGATTGTAAAATTGTCAGCTAATCTGTCTGAAAACATCCGTCTGGAACTTTCGCTCTGTGTTTATATTTACTTTGTTTAATAGATTATAATTCAAACCAGTTACCTGTTTACTACCATGATTATCATCAGCATCAGCACATAACTATATGTGAGATTAGACCTACACCAAGAAGAACACTCACTTTTCACTTCAGCACGTTTATGGATGCATTGTCAGCTTGGGCGTCTGTGCTTGTGTGTGTGATCGCCACGCGTCTCTCCCTCCCTCACCCCGTGTATGTCTCCCTGCCCTCTCGTGTCCCTCTCCTGCAGGGTCCTTGTCTGTCTCTAACGAAGCGTGGCTACCTCTGTCCTCTTTTCACCCCAGAAGAAAGAGATATCGCTCATCCCCCTGTCCCTCTTCACCCCTCCTGTCCATTCTCTCTCTCTCTTCTCTCTTTCTTTAAACATGTCCTTCAAATTCTTGCTTGTGTCACAAAAAAGAAGTGCAAAGCTTTCCATGGTGTTTATTTTCTGTTTGTGCAGTTGTTTTGTGTGTGAAAGGTGCTTTGTTTTACAGATGATAGGAAGAATGTGTGTGTTTGCTGATTGACTTTGATGAATATGTGTGTTTGAGTGTGTGTGTCTGCGCCCACTGGGCTGCTTACAAAGTGAAAGGGAGGGGCGGTGTAGTTGTGCGTCCTAACATAGTGTTGTGGTATTTCCCAGGTGTCAGTGATGATGTAAATAAGGTGGTGTGACGCCTCAGTTTCAGTCGCAGTCTGCCACATGCATGCACGCTATCTCAGGACTCTATATGTGTGTCTACTCGTTTTTGGGCCTTTGAGGACCTTTTCCAGAATAAACACTGACCTTATCAGGACCAGTAGACGTGATGGGGACCAAAGCTCAGTCCTAATGAGGCAAACTTCAATCAGGAGGACCTGGTTATGCATAGGTTAGGGGTAAGATGTGAATTATGGTTAGGTTAAGGATTGGCAAGAATTGGTGATGGTCAAGATTAGGGACTTGATGGTGTGGATGGTTAGGCTGTCCACATGAATGGAAGACACTGTACACACACACACGCACACACAAAGCCATTGGAACATCATTGGGTTTATCTAAATTGCATGATGAGGCCTAAAAACACAAGTTCACCGACACTAACACTGTTTGCAAATATTATTTTACACGGTTTGGAGCACACAAATGGCAGCAGCGTCATGTTTCATGACCGACTGTCGTTCACAGATTACAGATGAATTTAGATAAGTCCCACAGGGCTCTAACCGGTGTCTGTTTTGATCTGATTGAAATATATCAAAATTAATTTGACAGGAAATTATCTCAGCATGTTGTCACCTGCCCCAGAGTTTAGTATTTATAGGCTTCTGCACGGCTGCAGGAACATTAGCTGATCAGAAGCAATAAATCAGTATTATCAGTCTAAGTTGGGGTAATGTTTTCAGCAGCGTTGTAATCGGCTCAGACTGTTTTGCATTCTTTTCCTGAGACATTCAAAAATGTACTTTTCTCACTGTTTTTGCTGCTTATTCACCTGAAGTGTGCATTCTCAATTAGCATATCTATCCCCGGATGAAATGACAGGCATGAGACTTGGCTTTCATTTTGATATCGTGAGATAAGGTCATTGCCTTTTCCGTCTCTCCCTAATATTCATGTTTAATAGAGTTATGATGCTGACGTCAAAGGTTTGATCAGCTGCTATGAATCTCCCCTCTGTTGGCCTCAATTTGTTCTCATTGAATTTCTCCACTCCTGGGCAATTTCTCTCTGTCCCTTCAAATCCCTAATTCCCATCCCAAAACTCTGTCTCTTCCATTTACTGCCATTTCCTTTCTCTTTCCCCTGCTGATTTCCTCCTCTCTCTCCATCGTGCTTACCTAAGTCATCTTTGCTTTGCTTCAACACCATCCCCTTGACCTTGTGCAGCACAATGACCCTCCCTCTGTTTCTTCCAGACCCATTTCTTTGGGCTGTGGTTCCAGGGAAAGACACAGACCCCGGCCCAGCGCTGGGTGGAGCTGGAGAAACCTCTCAAGAAGCAGCTGGACAAGTTCGGCAATGAGCCGCTGCTCTTCTTCGGTGTCATGTTCTACGTGCCCAATGTTTCCCGGCTGGAGCAAGAGGCCACAAGGTAAAGACTCTTCAGACAATCACAAAACGGGTTAGAGGTGGAAACAGCCTTTAGAGAGGGGGGGAGGCGGTGCAGATGCAGTTATTATGGAGGGACAGTATAATCTTTTGGTTCCACACAGAGCAAACTGTTGGGTTGTGCAAATGGATCATGCCCCTTTTAGAATTGAGAACATGGATTCTAATTTCTAAAATCATAATGCTTTGTGAATGAAGAAAAAGATGCTGACTCAGACACCAGACGACTCAGTGATTTCTGAGGTTGCACAATTGAGCCACTTCACCATATCATCACGAGACTCATAAAATAAGCATTTTCACCAGACTGGAGTTATGTGCAAGGTTTTGCGAGGTTTGTTAACATGTAGGTCCTCAACAATGTGTTGAAAGACAAAAGATTAATGAAACAATAGGGTCTTTGCACCTTTGGGTGTTGGGGATGACATCAGGACGTATGTATGCCGTGCAAAATAGTTTTTTCCACCTTCCGAATTGCAACGTGAACCCAAAAGTATCAAATAAAATGTTGACAGTGTGACAAAGACAAGAACCTTGGTTCAGTCTTTCAGGAGTGAAAAGTAGCTGCTTTCTTTGTGTGAGTACGGAAGTTGAAATATGTGGAATTGTTTCTTCCATATTTCACGTAGCCTAAACTTCAGATGTAGACGTTGTTTTATGTACGTTCTTTGCTTGATTCCTGAACATAACAGAACGTTACTGCCCACAGAGGTCGAGATTTTCCTTTTGGCTCCGTAAACACAGTCATGTACCTTCTGTGCTCGAGCAATGAGATGTAGTAGGTTTAAACTACAAAGTCATAATTGACGTGTCTGTGATGAATAAGTGCCAGATTGTTTACTGTGTACACTGACTGACGCCATATTTTAGTAAGAGCGAGGGCAGAAAGAACGCAAATAAGTGTGTCCCTGAAATGTTGAAGTATTACTTTGACCTCAGGTTGATGACTGTTGTGACACGTGGTGTTTGAACACAGCTGGTCACAGACAGATACATTTACATCATCATCAACAGCAGTGATGCTGTTCTAATGTCACAGTGAGAGTCACAATGTGTGTGAGACAGTGACAATTAGCAGGTTGGCGAGCTGGGAAAAGGGCATCCTGGGTTCAGTGTGTAGTGGACAGTCTGGCATCTCAGGTTCCTTCTCATCCTCATACAGACACACACACCCACATACACACCCACATACACACCCCCACACATTCTGCAGGTCTGCAGACCTCGCACTGAGCTGGTGAATTTGTGACTCTGCCTCACTGGATGTGGGAAAGGTCAACTGCAGGTCACAGCTGACGTGTGTGTGTGTGTGTGTGTGTGTGTGTGTGT